TGTTTTTCTCGTTGCCATGTTCCCACCAATAACGTAGCTCCATTTTCTGCCTTTAAAAGCACACACAACCCACAATTCCTCTACTCGCTCCGACGAAGGGCTAACGCTCGAAACGTCAGCTTTTGTAATCGTTACGGTGGCCAATTTACCATTTCAACTTTGTTGATATATCCAAATTATTTCGTTACTCCCACCGAAGCAGCCCCTAACAGTTTCTTTCGAAACTATCAGCCTTTGTTAAAATGTTTACCCTGTTAAATCCCCTTGACTTTAGCGAAACTGCTTCCTATGCAGGGACCTATTCGAAATTGGCATCCTGGGGGATTTATTTTTCGCTTTCATCTCATTGGTAAACCTGTGCACTTTCGATTTCATTTTCGAGGTGGCGTCAGCAATTTAAGAACCTTGGTTGTATTTTCCTTTTGTACCAAAACCTAAAGGTTCCCATAGAGTTCTCGAAGAATAAAATCTGAACATTGAAACAAGCAGGGTGATTGTGTGGTACGCAACTCTTCCCCATAAATTTATGGAAAAAAACATAACAATATGATTATTTCTTTTCCCTCACAAGGTTAATTTTGAGTGCTAGAACACTTGTAAACTATTTTGGTCCTTATTACCTAAATTCTTCATTCCCTTTTATTTTGGCCTATCTGCTACGCCATGCGATCATTGCTTGACTTGCTGACTGCTATATGTTTTTTATGCTCATCCAGTTATTGACCTTGCCAGCTTTAGAGCTCTGCTTGAAGTTTTTTTCCTTCAGCTAATAAACCAGTCTTTGAAAAACTTTCAATTTAGTGTCAAAAGGGAATCAGAGTTGAATTTATTTTTAACTCTCTCGCTCTGTTATAGGTACAGAAATCACAATTACCCTTTCAACCAACCATCTTCAGAGATGAAACCAATCGCCAATTGGTTACCTTTGATTCTTAAGCCTAAGGAAGGTTATCATGACATTCCCTTTTTAGTTCCCACAGGCACCAATTAAACCTTTGACCACGAAGAGTGTCTAGAATCCAACTTCTCTTATAACATTGCCCTCGAATTACACATGAAGGTCACGAGAATTTAGGAAATGATCATCCACCAGGAAAAAAGCTCTTGATTGTTGCAACAAATTGTCCTTGTGAGCATCCAAGGAATGTGTAGATAATAGAATATGCATACAGATGTTAGTGTGTAAAGGGTTCAAATTTTTATCTTTGTTTCTTTCGGCGGTTAATCAATTGATAAGTTTGGTGATAATTTATTACAAGACTAAAACAAAAAGACCTCAAAAAAACAAACGTCAATATTAATACTATTACTAATATTACATCATTTTCTCGCGGCGTATCAGTACAGATAACGTTATTACTTCAATTTTATGAATGAAACGCGACAATCAAGCAAACGGCAACGCATAGTGGACAGTATCGATAACGTAAATTCCGTATGTTATCGTTGGAATTATGATATTATATACAAATTGTGCCGCATTAAATAGACGATTGGAGGAAATATTCTCTGGTACTGTTTCGTAAAGCAGACCTGAACACTGAGTGGGGTGTAAGAACTCTTACACTAAACCGATCAAAAGTAACCGGGGAAAAACACTTTTGTACGTATCACCAGGTACATATATATACATACATACATCCTTTATTTGGTAAAGCAGGTTGAGGAAATGGCAGCTAATGCTGATGTGAACCTGCTATCTACTAATAAACAGCTAAAAATATATACGTCTCCTAGTATGAATAATCATACGTATCAATAATACATTATATATACGGGTAGGATAAGTAAGTAAATATATATATATATATATATATATATATATATAAAACAAACAAACAAATAACTAAACTGTATAAAACAAAAAACTATTTTCTTTTTCTATACAATCAAAAATAATGTGTATGGATA